ATCATACTGAACAAATATATCAGACTAACAAAGGTTAAGTAAATAAGTTATCTCAGCTAATTCTCTCTCTCTGAAAATTGTTGTTGTTTTTTCAACCCCAGTAGAGCAGGCACTGCGGCCTTTGGGGCTGGGAGAGGAGACAGCGTGGCCTGATGCAAATAGCTTTTGCACCAAGGCACAAGCCACCCTCTCCTATAATCATACCAATGGTCGCTCCATAAAGAATGCTTAATGCTTTCACCAATGTTATATTCAAAGTATATCAATAAGAACTGACAGTCACTTTCACTATTCATACAATCCTCACTCACTTCAGAACGAGCACGGCATTGCTGCCGTGATTGTAGGGAGCATTCACTACAGCTGCAGTCCTAGCTAAGCTCAACCACGGGCGACGGGTCAAGCACTACAGCACCGACGGTGATCTCCTGTGGTATCACACGAAGCGTGGTGTTCGTCGATTGTACGTTCCGGCCTCGCTTCGCGCGGAACTTTTACGGAAAATGCATTACCATGCTTTGGCAGGTCATGGTGGGGTCAATACAACGGTGGAGCGTGCTGCCAGGTCCTTCTGGTGGCCTACGATGCGCCCCTCAATCGAGGAATACGCCCTCTCTTGCCCGCACTGACAGCAGCAAAAGCCGCGAAACACGCTCAAGCGCGGATTCCTGCACAGCCTGCCTATTCCCGATAGGATCTGGACGGATATCTCCATAGATTTCATTTAGTGGGCTTACCACCCGTCAGAGGCCATGATAGTATATATGTTTTGGTGGATCGGCTTAGCAAATATGCTCACTTTATTCCCTGCTCGAGCATGGTCACAGCGGAAGGAGTGGCCCTCTTCATTAATCATGTGTGAAATCTCCACAGCTTCCCAAAAAGCATCATTACCGACAGGGATCCGAAGTTCGTTAGCGCCTTCTGGCGCAGCCTCATGGAACGGCTCGGCATCGACCACAACATGACCACCACCAACCATCCGGAGGCCGAGGGCCAGACCGAACGCACTAACCGCACGCTGGTGCAGTATTTGCGACTTTACACCCGACAGAACACATCTAACTGGCTTGAATTTCTTGCTTGTGCAGAATGGGTTTATAACACTACTGTGCATTCGTCCACTCTTTGCTCCCCGGCGTCCCTGGTCTGCGCAGAAACTCCACTCGCCGATCCGCTGCTCGACCTCACTGTTGGAAGCCAGCCCCGACCGACTGCGGCACACCGCTTGCAGCAGCGAGGGAATGCATGCGCAAAGCGCAGGAACGTCAAGCCAGAAACTATGATAAACGACGTTCCGCTGCCAGTTTCAACCCGGAAGACTTGGTTCTGGTGGGTTTGCACGCCCTCCGCAGCGTGCAGGAGGGCGAGCAACCCAAAACGTTCGCCACACGATGGGTTGGAGCGTTTGCGGTCCGCTCTCGGGTCAACGCCTTGGCGTATATTATCGATTTACCCCCAACGTGGAGATGTCACCACACTATTAACGTGGGCTTCTTAAAACCGTTTCGGGAATCTCCGCGGTTTCCTCACACTCTAGCGAGGAATCCGCGGTTTCCTCGCACTCTAGCGAGGAAACCGCAGCAACGACCTCGCGAGCTTCCCCGCCTCGAGGACACAGAGATCCTCGAACTGCGAATTAACATCCGCCGCAGCCATCAGAAACGCGAATATTACGTCAAATGGCCGGGCGCACGCGATCCCGAGTGGGTTTCGGAGGATCGCTTACGGGAGGCGATCCTCCCCTAACAGCTAAGCGCTCCCCTTGACCTCGCATCGACTACACCTAGTGTGAGCATGCCGGCAGGATGCGGGAGTGGGTAATGGGTGGCTCACTGTTAGTGGATCCCTAGGCGGATCCCTGCAAATTCTTCTATTTTTATCCCTCGATGCCCCCGGAGGCTATTTGCGTTGCCTCCCTATTTGTATCCTCCCTCTTGCACACGACGCGCTAGGTCGCGGGAGGGCGCTGACGACCAGCAGTGCCTTTGCCCAGTGGGGCTGGGCACCACCTTTGGGGCTTTGTTGGGGCTTTCTCGGGCGCCCAGTCGGCGGCGACCCGGCGCAGCAGGACGGGCCGTAACAACTGCATTGGTGCTCGACGACTTGCAATCAAGCATCCTGACACCTGAAAGCAGCCCTTTTTTTTCATCTTTTAGCCCAGCAGCAGCGCCGGGAGCGGCGTCAGGCGCCACTTCGGCTAGCCACCAGCTGTGGCCCTGGTCGGGCCGGCATCGCAGCAGTTTCGCTTTTTTCGTCCGCCCATTCCTCCCTTTTCTCCTTTTACTCGCCCATACTTGAAGTTTCGGTTGCAGGCCAGCTTATTCAGGCGGTGCCGAGGCACCGTCGCAGCAGCGAGGCGGACGCCGCATCATGACTCGCAGTTTGAGTCAGATGCGGCGACTGACCCGCTGATTGCTCTCCCCCTTCTCTTTCCCTCGACATCGTTACATATTGGACCCCTTTTTACCAGTTCCCCCTCGTTTCATCGCAGGGACGGGCACCGGTGAGGAGAACAGCAGCAGCCGCAGCAGCGCCAGTGTAACGCTGGTTCTCTGGCCTTTACCTGACCAGAGACGAGCCGCAATGAAGGCAAAGACTTAAAGTAAGAGTTTCCCAAAGGCAGCTGACCTCCTTCCGCGGTACCTGGGCATCCTGGGCGTTGAGCCCAGGGCCA